CCTGTTCAAAATTAAAGTAGATAGCCAATTATTTGGAATGATGGCAGAGTCATAACGATTGATCGTCGCATTGTCGACTCGCTGCACACTGGGCAAAAATGACAAAACCGCGACTAAATTGAATATCTCGGCTGCCAAACGGTAAACTCTCATAAATCGATTGGTGGTGGTTTCATTGGCCTGAGACTTTTTCTAGATAGTGGGCTGGGATCAACCCTAGTTCTCGGTAAAGTAGAAAATGCCACTATCTGTTAGGATGGGTCATTATGATCATTTTTTCAGAAAAATGTTTTTTTGGTTCCATTTGGGGTTTCAAACAACTGTGCAAAATTTGGGGACGATTGGTTGTAACCCGGCTTTCCGCATTGCGTTTGAAATTTGTATGGAAATTAGTATGGGAAAACCTGCTTTTTTGCATCTTTATTACTAGGGACCACAATTTTGCACAAACCACGCATCGTTTAAGTATAGTCCAGAAAGTGCCTAACAACTTTGCTAGAGGATGGTGCTAGAATGTATCTAAAAAAAAAGTTATAGCTGTTCAAAGATCAATGGTTCGAATTAAATGCCAAAAATCCCTTTTTCTGCCTACACTGCCGGTGTGCCAATGACTCCAAACTGAAATAACTTCGGAGTTTCTTATCTTATCGATTTGGTATGTTCAGATGAATTATTCAAAAACCATTTTTCAATCTCATAAGCATATTAAGTGATGAGGGGAGGGTTTACAATACCCCCGCCCCTCACTCATTTAAATGGAAGTAAAGCTTCAAACTGCAATAAATCCGGTGTTTCTGATCTTTTCAAGTTGCTATCATATGTATTAAAAAACATGTGCTCCATTTAATAGGCGTTGTTAGATATGGGGGGGGGGGCTTACTGTATCCTTTACGCCCCTCACTTATACCAATGAAAGTAAAGATAAAGACTAAAATAACTTCGGAGTTTCCCATCTCTCGAGTTGTTCGGATGCGTTATTCAAAAACATTTGCTCAATCTCATAAGAGTTGTTGTAAAGCGAGTACCCCTAGTCCCTTCCCTACTCTTTTGGTGCAATGTACAACGTCGGATATATTCAAACAAATGTCATTGGATTGTAATGATTATATTTCATTTTAATATATTCAACGATTTCTCAGGGTACTTTTTTCGATGCTGTTTTATCCCCTGAAGCAATATTGCTGTTGAACTAGGTCTCGGGTGGATTTCTTGTTAAGTCAAAAATTAGCTTCACCTCTCATTCGGCTACCATCAAGGAAGCAACACGTTGTATCGCATTAGAAATGACGTTTGACTTGGGAGCCCAATTGAAACGTAGCTCACTTAAAGATAGCCCAACAAGCGAAATCCAACTGTACTTGTGTCTGAGACGAAACTGGTGAAGACAGTTTTCGTTTTCTCCTGTTATTTTATTTTTTTTATTTTCGATGTACGACTACTTCTGTGTTTTCTATATGCGTGTGGCCTCAATGGCAGTTTAATATTTAAAATAAAAGCTTTATTAAGGAATTTAATATTTTCCAACTGCTAATAATTCAAACAACATCTCCTCACTAGCAAATAAACGGACAAGTGGATATTAAATATTTACGCTACAACGTGATGGCGTTTTACAATAAACTGCGAATCCATTGACTTTTCAATGTCTCAGCATAATTTAAAACAATATTTTAACTCCATACGGAATCATAACTCGTAAGAAGTAAAAATAAAATAGCAGACCATTTTTTTATATATTCTTAAGAAAAACAAATGTGAACATGTATTTGTACTAGTCTACATCGGTTGTTAAAATTAAATAAACAACAATTTTTGTTTTAAAAACTGCATGTAGTAAGCCCCCCCCCGGCTCTCTAACTACGCTTATGAGATTGAGCAAATGTTTTTGAATAATTCAACCTGAACATACCAAATCGATAAGATAAGAAACTCCGAAGTTATTTTAGTTTGAAACTATTGAAACAAATGTACTAGCACATTTTATATAAATTTGTCACTAGAGTGGTCCTATGAAATCCATCTTTTGCCAATAACTTTTTTATTTCAAATTTCTCATGAAAGTCATCCTTTAGAAACTTTTAAAACTCTCCAAGACGAATGTTCTATAGCGAAATTTGTTGTCTGTATATCTTCTTATAAAAAAGATATACCCAAATATAGTAATAAATATGAATAAATTCAAATTGATTTTATACGAGTTTAAAAAATACCATACCTCCGTTTTTTTTTCAGATTATTTAGAATAACATACGGTCTTTCAAATGCCGTATGAAAACTTTTTTTTTTGTTCGCCCCAACCAGAGATATTAACATTTGAAAAGTGCATATTTTTAGTACAAAAACGTCAATAACTCTTGATCAGCGAAAGATATTGACAAGCTTTCTGCAGCAAAACTTTGCGCCTTTTAAAGATCTAAAAGTTATTTGAATACACCTTTGCTGAGAAATTTTAAATAAGAAAACTAGAGCAAAATGACTGTTTTTTTAGCGCCACCCTAACTCAGTTCAGGAAAATAGCTTTAAATTGGCCAATTTAAGAGATACAACAAAGTTGCTTGAAATTAGCTCAGCTATAACTTTGCCGAAGAATATTTTTGATCAATATTTTGATTTTAATGATAATAAGAACCACCCTAGAATTCATTGTCAGCGGAGACGAGCCAGCCAACGGCTGAAAGTCTCCTTAATAAAGATATAAAAAAAAAAATTCATTGTCATAAAAATGAGGGCCTTACTATATGGAACAACTTTGTAGAAGAGACTTTTAGTCTAAAGTTTCAATTTCAGTCTCAAAACATATCATTCCACCTAAATCTGCATTCTGGACCACTGTGCATTGGTACACCGGCAGTGTTGGCAGAAAAAGGGATTTTGGTGTTTAATTCAAACCATAAATATTTGCATTGTTATAACTTTTTTTAAGTACATTCTAGCATCGTACTTCCTTTGGCAAAGTTGTTGGGCACTTCCTCGATTATATTAGTACATTCTTAGTTGCATTGTTTATGCTGAATTTTGGTCTCTAGGGATAAAGATGTAAAAAAGTTGGTTTTCCCATACTAATTTCCATACAAATTTCAAACGCAATGCGGAAAGCCGAGTTACAACCAATCGTCCCCAAATTTTGTACAGTTGTTTGGGACTCCAAATGGAACCAAAAAAGGGTTGTTCTCGATTGATGAGGTAAAGTTTGCGTTTTTCCATATAACGATGACCCACTCTACTATCGATCGACATAGATTTACACTTCACTTAACGTATATTAATGGAAATTGATAGTACTAAGTATATATGGTGTAAAGACACCATAAACGTCATCAAGGAAACTCTACTGGCCTAAAGGAGGATCCGGAATGAGCGATAAAGTGGCCACCGTGAATACCATTTTTTTGGAGGCCCGGATGGACCTAGAAAAGTCTTATAATTTTACACGTATCACAATACCTAAATTGAATTTTTTTCCCAACTTGTGCGATCGACAAATGCTGAAGAGTTTAGATTATATGATCTACTTTATCGGTCTACCCGGATTATTCGGAGGACCAAGATATGGTAATTTGATCCCAAACTATAAATTCCATATTAAACACGCTTTCATCATGTGATTTTGAACAAACAACGGTTCTAGAACAATTTTTATAATGTGGCTACTTTATTGGTCAATCCAGATTATCCGGAGAACCAGGATATGGCCACTTTACACCAAAATTTAAATTCTTTATTAAATTTGCTTTGATCTCATCATTCTGAACAAACATAGAAAAAATCGCAAGGTTCTAGGATCATTTTTATTATGTGGCCACTTTATCGGTCGATTCAGATTATCCGGTGAACCAGGATATGGCCACTATATTCCAAAAATATGTATTCCAAGTTAAAAACGCTTTGATCTCTTGATTCTGAACAACATAGAAAAAATCATAAGGTTCTAGGACATTTTTTTATAATGTGGCCACTTTATCAGTTGTTTCGGATCCTGAGGGCGTATATGGTGTCTTTCCGCTATATATAGTTACTTAGTACTATTAATTTCCAGGAATATACGTTAATTGAAGTGTAAAATTATGTCGATCGATAGCGGCATTTCCTACTTTACCTGGAACTTGGGTTGATCTCGGCCCTCTATCTCGGTACGCAAAAGCTCCGGCCAATGAGATCCCCATCAATCGATTTAGCAGAATTTTTCCTTTGAGAATATGTATAACATGTTGATTGAAACCGTTTAGCAACCGAAATATTCAATTTAGTCGCGGTTTTGTAAATGCGCTGTTTGCAGCCTTGGTAATTTGAGGAAGTTTTTATGACTTAGGATTCTGTTAGATAATTTTGGAGCATCATCATCGTGTAAGATTATCAGATGATTTCCTAAGCTAGGATCTACGAAAAACAAACAAGATTCTACTATTAATCAACTTTTATGTTTAACATTTTCCAACTCCTCCGTCAATTTCTCAGAGCGATTTGCTCTTGTGATGTTTGCTCCTGAACTTTAACACATCCCAGCTCTGTTGACTTCGATTATTCTTCATACAGAGTTTCTTCTTTTGGCTTCTTCCGTCTCCAAACCCTATTCAAACACAGGATTCTTCATAAATTTCAAGCTAACATTTTAAAATATCACACCCACACCCACATAACTTCCACGCCCAATCCCAAAAGCTCCCTTCCCGGAGAACGGATAACTTTCTCAATGCACTGTTGCCTTCTCTGCCTGGCAACTGGAATAATAATGAAGTTTCCACATTTGTATCCTTCTGCTACGCGTTGGAAAAGTGGAAACTTTTATTCCTGCTACACTGCATCATCGGGATACATGGGGGAGATGGAAACCTACACCCCCGCACACACACACACACACAAAGAGTAAAACTTTTCCCTGATCCTCGGTTTTTGTTTTCGTTCTAACCCCTTAAAGTTGTCATTGTTCATAAACTGCTGGCGCTGGCTGCTGCGCCCCACTCATTCAAGTCAGGCATTTATTTGAACTCAAGCTCGCTCACCTGGACGTAAGCCCATCGGACCAGTCGGTCTCCACCGTGATTCGCTGGTTTTCCGTGGTGTAAATGGAGTTGTCCTGGGTAGTGGACTGTATCAGTGTGTTTCCTGCGAACGAAATTCGGAAAAAAGGTACAATCTGCAATCCGGGGATCAACCGATACAATTGTGCGATGTCCTCTTACCTTTGTACCAAAACACCGTGCTCAGATCGTGTGGTCCCTGTTGGATGACGCAAGTCATGATGATTTCGCTACCGGATTTCACGAAAATGTCCGACGGTCCCAATATCCGCGCTCGCAGTTCTGTGTTGGGTGAAAAACAACGTAGGATAAATACGATAAATACGTCCGTTTTAAAAAGAATACTATTTTCTCCGCAGCACAGGATGAATGTTTGTTTGATAAACATTTCGGAATGCAGTGCTGAATAGTTTTAGTTTAATTGAATGCAAGGCGGTTGGAAATGTTTCCCTTCAAAGCTGGCATCGCGGGCATTTATTTAAAATAGTTGTTCAGCGCAATTGTTGGTGAGGTTCTGTTTGCATAAACAGAACCGAATTGAATTGTTTGGGTTCTGGGAAGGTTGTTGTAAAAAGCTGACCTGTTTAGAATTCGATTTTTATTTTTGATTTGTTTATATTACTAAACACTGGCAGTCTGCAGTGTTCATGCTGATGGTTTAGTTGGAATGTATGCTTTGGTTTAATTTGTGGCTAGCATTAATACTGCAAACAACATTTTCAACCCAATTATTACTGGTCATGAAAATATATATTGACATAATGATTCTTTAAAAAAATGTATTTTGTGCATAACGCGACATCAAATATATCATATTAACAATATGATCCATTCATGCCTTTTCCAAATATTGCAATGGCGACCCGCAAAATATCGCTTCACGCACCATCTAGCGTTGAAAAAGGTCAGCAACAATCATTCAATTACAGTCGAGGGGTGCGAATATAGCACTTATTACAAACGTAAGAGTCACATTATTTTCATTAATTAAATTGTGTATATTACTTTAACATTTGTCTGATATGTCACTGTTGTCATCAAATAAAATAATAAAAGCTGAAATACATTTATTTGAAATATTAAACAAATTTTCATTTGGTTTACCCCTCGTGACGATAAAGAAAAACATTGGTAGCCTTTTTGGCCACAGAGCTGCTTTCATCGCTAAAAATTTGGTTCGCCAGCTAAGCGAAAGAGTGGATCATATTGTTAATGTAATATATATGGTGACATAGTCGTTAAAATAATAGACAACAATACTAGCTTTTAGCGGCCCCGGTGCACAGGGGTGCCAAGGGTATCAAAACACGCGCTTTTTTATTTACGCTGAAATGGTTGATTAGAGGTACTAGGTGTCTTCTGAGAAGTTTTTCTGGTGACAACACTTCTTCTTATGGTAAAAGAAAATTAAAGTTTAAACCACCTTAAAGTGCAAAATTATTATTTTTTTTAATATGATGAGATACAAAACATTTGTGTAGGGCAAAGCTGTAGAGAACATTACTGTGAACAACTTTGCTATAGACTATAACTTTCTAATTCCTATAACTGCTGAGATATAAAGGCATCGTAGAGACATCGTTAAAATCAATTTTGTATCTGTAACTTTTTCTACAATATTTCTAGATGTTTGGCATGTTCTATAAAGATGTTCCTTCCAGGTTCCTACAACTTTCCTGGAGTTTTCTCAACCATGACTGGTCATGGAACTTCCCTTAAACATTCTTAAATGTGTAGATCTTATACGAACTTCCCTGAAGTGTGTGAACCTGCATGATAAAATTCTCTTACTTTCAAGAAGTTCTCGGAACTTTTCTTACATTCCGAAATTTTTCCTGATATTCTTGGATGTTCCCTCAGAACCTCACACTATTCCTGAAATTTTTGGAACATTTCTAAAATTCTTGGATATTTCCAAAATTCTCCGGACCATCTTGAAAGTTCCTGCAATTAATTAATGAAACTGCTCTAAGCTTCTCTGATCTTCCTTTAAGTAGTTGAAACAGCCATGAAAATGAAAATTGGAGCCTCCCATAGTTCAGTTGGTAAAGGCGTAGCTACAAAGCAAAACCATGTTAAAGGCGGCTGGGTTCGATTCACGGTCCAGTCTAGAGATTTTTCAGGTTGGAAAATTTCTTGGCTTCCCTGGGTATAGAGTATGATTGTTCTTGATACACAATATAATGCAAAATGGTACAGGCATCGAAAGCTCTCAATTAATAACTTTGGAAGTGCATCTAGAACACTTAGTTGAGAGCATGCCATAAGCTAATATGCGATAAGCAATAATCTTGAAATGCGAAGAAGAACGACCTATACAATTTCCACCCTGATATTCTTTGGATTTTCTTTAAGAACTCGGAACTGAAGCGATGAACTAGCGTAAGGCTGAAAGTCTCTCTAATAAAGAAAATAATAATTTTGGAAACATGCAGAAGTTGCCCTAAAGTTTCTGAGTTTCTTGGGTCATCTGTACAATATATTTTTTTTAAGTAAACAATTTTAGGTCAATGTGTAAATACTGATGATCGAAAACTAGGCAATACCACCACCGGTCAAGAAAGGAATGAGTAGAAATATGTTGAAGTAATACTCGCTTTAATGTAAGCCAAGAACACCTCTGCACTGCCACGAAAAATCACTGGGATGATGGATAAAAGGGTTGGGATTGCAGCAGGATTCGTTTTGGTAAACGATATGCTGAATTGATGTCCTAACAACGCTCAGTGGTCCAGAATGCAGATTTAGGTGGAATGATATGTGTTGAGCCTGAAATTGAAACTTTAGACTTAAAGTCTCTTCTACAAAGTTGTTTCTTATAGTAAGGCCCTCATTTTTATGACAATGAATTCTAGGGTGGTTTTTATTGTCATTAAAATCAAAAATCTAACTTTTTTGTTTGAATAAATTAGGGTTTACATTTTTGGGCAAAGTTATATTTGAGCTAATTTCGAGGAACTCCTGTGCAAAGGAGCTTGGGTTTGAATGCACGGTCTTCTAGTTCGTAAGCAAAATCGGTCACCACTAGGCCACCGAGCTCCATATTTCATAAAACAATTACGAAGTTTCTGCTCAATTTATTGTTACTATGTTTCGATCCTGGCGACGACCTCACCGACCGAAGAATTTTATACGGATATCCAAGCAACACGTCTAAAATTCAAATATTACTTCTTCTACGCATACGAGTTTTAACCGAATTTCCCTACGCTCAGTAGTGTAAGGGGCTTGGGTTCTAACCCACGATTTTCTGCTCAGTAAGCATAAATGGTCACTCTAAGACCTCCGTGCGCATACATCACAACAAGTTACAACCAACGATCATTCATTATAGGTTACAAGAAGCTATTACAATGAAATGAAATCCCCAATGTCTTCCTAGAGCATCACAAACAGCGAATTTATAACTCGTGAGCGTTCACTCAGAGTGAGCGCTCAAGAATGAATGCAGCGTAATGTCAGTTCATGTACTGTATTATTGATAATTTTGTCCTTTTTGGTAAATAATATTACACCATATTTTTGACACGATTGAAGTGCATCCACTTTGATCAAAATTATTGTTTTGCTGTGTAACCACCATGACAGGCCTTCTCATGTGCTCTTGTGAAGATAACTAGGTACCTACATTGCTAAAGGCATTAAGGAATTTTGGACTGTCAATTTCCACAAGGCACTCTTGAAGTGTAGAAATATTGCTCTGCACCTAGTGATAAAGGCTTGAAACATAAAATCGCTGAATAAATTACATACGAAAACCCAATCAGAACATTTAAAATTCAGCATGCGAATATTTAATCCGTTGTTTGTTAAAGGTTTTTTTTTCGTGGATCTTCATGACAGTTTAATCAATTTCAAGAATCAGGAATTTTATAAAAACTCTGAGCAATTAAGGGAAGTCCAAAAAAATCAGGGAAGTAGGAGCTTATTAAAGCAATTTTGAAAACTTCAGGGATGTTCAAAGAACTTTAGAGAATATCCGAAACATTCAGGTAAATAAAAAAAAAAACTTATGGACCTGCTAAATTTAAAGAACCACAGACAAGTTCAGAACTTTGAGATCTTGAAGGGAGAATTCCGAAAACTTCGAGAAAAATGCATGAACTTTACAAATTTTTCATGAACAGAAAAGTCAAAAAACCTAAATGAAGTTGGGAATCCTATAAACGCCAGGAAAATTGCGGAAATTTTAATGAAGTTCTGAGATCTTCTGGAATTTTTTTAAAAATTTTTTGGAAGGGGGAATGGATTTAATGTTGGCCTAAATGCTCCTCATTTAGGCCCATACATAAATTCAGCAATCGACTAAATTTTCAATAGCTATCAATAATATCAATTAGTACCGTCTCAATGACGCGATCATCTAGATAAAATTGATAATATCAGAATTTTAGCGATGGGGTCGATCTTAGATCCATAGGTCAATATTAGAGCCATTTCCCCTTGTCCCATAAATTCATTTTTTTTTATTATAAATATTGTTGGATAATCAACGCTTTTTGTCAAAATACCATATTTTTTATTTAAATGGTCTTCCAGTTAAATCACTTTTTAGATGCAACTGGCTAAAAACTGAAAGATCATGGATTGTTATTTTGGTATTTATTTGATGTTATACAAAATATTTCGAAAGTTTCCTTAATAAATAAAGGAAATTGCTCTAATGTTGGCCTATAGATCTAAGATTGGGCCCATCGCTAAAAATCTGCTATTTATCAATTGTATCTAGATGAACGCGTCATTGGGACGGTACTGATGGATAATTTTGGTTGCTATTGAAAATTTAGTCGATTGTTGAATTTATGTATGGGCCCAAATTAGGGACACTTAGGCCGACATTACATACATTTTCCTATACATAAAAAAAAATATTTCGATAACTGAATAATATCAAAACAAGGTTTTACACCACAAACATACTGAACACAACAACCATTGTGTGGTCCTCCTCATTGTTCTTCATCAGCAGTTCTTTCAGTCGATGCGTCGTCAACTTTGCAAAGCAACCGTTGTGTGATGAATGTGTGAGTGTTGACCACGTTTTGCGTCCATTGCTACCATGGAAGCGCTCTGACCATCGTTGGAGAATCTGCCATACAAGTAAACCACTGGAAGCGGCTCCCGTTCTGATGGAGGAGGCTTTTTGGATAGCGGAAGATAAAGTGTTTATTGTGTTGTACCTTTTGACTATAGTTTTTAGATGTATTGTATAGTTACCAAGAATCCTCGGCTCTGTAAAGTTAATTCGGTTGAGCCTTATCAAATAAATTCATGAACTAAAA